TTCCTTACGAGGTGGGCCCTCCTTATTAAGGTTTCGTGACGCGCGCTCCATGGAACGATCGCCGCGCGTCTCCATAAAAATATCTTTCTTTTCCCAAATTGGACCGTGAATAACAAACTGCGGCTTCGGCGCGCGTTTTCGCCCCTAAACGACTCTTTTAGCCCAGTAGATACCGTTATTAACGCGTACCGGGCAGTTTATACATACCTAGTGCATCGTTACGCAGCCTCAACTGCCAGACGCAAGTACGACACCGCGGAAGCATATAAATTACCGTCGGTATTTCGGTAAATACGTGCAATGTCAACGCGGTGTTTCGGGCATTAATAGACAATGACAAACGAGTTCGTTGAACTACCTTATTCAAATAAGAACGCGCTCGTCAAGAGTGTGCTTTTTACGATGACCCGAGTGATAATGAGTCATCGATGCTATTATCATCTTTCTGTTATTTTAAGCATTGTATTCTAATTACAACAACCAAAGAAATATGCAAAATAAAAATATAAATCGTGCAATTTATGTTATGCGATAATAAAATTTTAAAAAAACGTGGAAAAATTATATGGGAAAGTTCCCGACATTCAAGTCAACGTCTAAAAAATAATTTCTTCTCTATCAATATCAAATTTAGCAAAAGATTAAATAGTTATGCGACGGGAAAATCGTAAAGCTAGCAAATCGGAATCGAGGAACAACAACTGTGTCGGACATACCAGCATCGTCGACGATGACGCCAGGCGAATGAATTCGCACGATACGCTGCGTAACGAGCCTATCGATGAAAAAGAAAAAGAGGTGACGCCGCGTTTCGCGTAGGCACATTGTTGGTACATCGTCGCGACTAACCAAGGTATCACACAACGATCGAAGTGAAAAATAAATCGCCGGAGAGAGAGCGAAGGTGCGCGTCGGCGCTATGAAGTTTGCGACCACCTACGCGTTTCACGACGCCGAGAAAGAGCCGCAAAAAAGGCGGAGAGTCGATCGAGAGGGTTCGATAGATAAAAAAAAAAAAAAAAACGGCTGAACAAAGCGACACTAAGAAAAGGTGATCCAGGGGACTCGCGATAATCGAAGGAGATCTTTTTGCGAAATGCATCGCGTGACGTCCCTGCATGCGTATTCAGAACACAGTCCCGAGATCAATAATTGCTAACGTAAGAATTATACGGCAAATATTATAGAGCAGATTGGAAAACGTTGATACGCTTGATTAGTCAACGCGATTATCGAAGCGAGAGGAAGAGAAAGAGCGAGCCGCACAAAAAAGCGCGTGAATACTCAGGATGGGGGTGCTGCACGAGACACGTGACCACCTCCGCCGAACGGCTTTAAAACAACATAAAAAAAAGGCGGAAAGTGAAACCTTGACGAAGCGCTAGAGCGAAAACAGAAAAACAAACATACGATCGATCTCGTCTCGATTTTGAACGCGAGGCTTCTCGAGACGTAATTTAAATTTCATAGAGCGTGTAAGGTCATGTTTGTTTCTCGTAGAAAAATCGTTCTACATATCTATTTACAGAATAAAACATCGCTGAAGATTTTAACTGAATTAAGCAGATATTCCTGTGCCAATAGTAAATATCTCGCGGAGGAAAGAAAGATTTTACGATTGTTTAAAATATTGACTATGGATATGATTCTTTTAATAATATTAATATACGGTAATGTGTGTGCAATTTTTGGTCATTATTCGAGATTATCAAATATTATAAAACACGTAAAGAAAATTTTTCGTGTGTCTATTCTTATTATTACATTTTCTCTGATCACTTAAAATTTAAAGTCTATAGTGCAAACTTAATTTTACCGACGGCAAGAATGACAGCTTCATTATTTTTATTCAGTGTCTCTGTATGTTTTATATCACGCGTGAATTAATTATGCGCGCCGAGATTCGCAGAAGCAACGGAAAAAAGAAACTGAAATTCTGTGCGAGATGATTCTATAAAGAGACGATCGGCAAACAAATCAAAGAAGATTAGGTAGAAGCGCAGCTGGTCTACATAAGAACAATCTGAAATACCATTTATGCGAGAAATACTCTTTTTCACAGCATTTTAAATATTATATTCCGTCTTTTGTCATATCGAAAATTTATATTTATTTTTACTACATTATAGGATCTGGCAACAGAGCATAAATATGAGCGAGAAATTGTACTATTCTTTATAATACAAACATTATACGATAATCTGATCGGACAATTAATAACACTTCCACGTAAATCACATAGTTTATCATTGTCTAATACTACCACCTCGTGACGTAAAATACTTTCAGTATGATACTGCGCGCGAACTGCGTGCGTCAGCTTCGCATCTGCCTAAGCCTATTTGAAAAAAAAAAAAAAAAAAAAAAACAATCCAGACAAAAGAAAAGACGAGTGAAACGAGAAGCGGTGAGGCAAGGGGAAACACAGATTGAGAGAGCGAGAGAGGAAGAATCCTTCGATACCCGTGTCCGGCAGCGATGGAAGGCGACGAGATTCTCGACGCCGCGCTCGACTCCCGGACAAGTACAGGTATCGATAATATTGACAATGACAATAATAATAATTAAATTATAATAATCGCAATAATAAGAGATAATAATAATAAGTGACAATAATAATGGTGGCGAATATTATAATAGTAATAATAATATAAGATCACCGCGTTAACGCCGGATTTGCAACATTTACAACATTTTCTCGAGACCAGACAATGAACGTCACAATATAATAATAATAATGTGATAATATATATAATATAATAATAATGTAATAATAAACATAATAATAATACACAATAATGATATAAGAACATAGGTAAAACCTTCCGATTTATACATAGACATAGAGCTTTCAAATGTATCGCCACACATTTCGCGTTTTCTCATATACATATATATCCTTTTTTCTCTATATTTATATATAATAATATATCTTCATCTATATATATATATATATAGATCTTTTTTTTTGTGTGTATATATACACATATAGATTTATGTATACTTACTCTTTATACAGAAGGGGTTTTTCGCGCGAGGGGGGATCTGTCTTGCCATCTCGCTAGGATTTCGAACGCGTTTTCCCGACACGTGTTCCCTCTCCGATGTATATGTGGACGTTCCTGTCCCTTTCATATATAATATTCTTTGTCTCTCTCCCTGCCTTCTCTCTTTATCTTTTTCTCCTCCGTCTATTCCAGCTCCTGCGTCTGCTTTTCTCGCCGACGACGATGACGACGACGATGACAATGACGACGACTCATGTTCTCTCTCACTTAACTTACTAGCTTTATCTAGTACATTATTTACAGTCCATATTTATACTTATGTTACATCATCCGCCGAGTTTGCTCCGAGCAAATCCCGCGCGAACACAACACTCGCTCCTAACGTACGTTCTTTTTTTTGTCGCCCGTTCGTCCGTCCGTAATTGTCCCGCGAATTTCAGACTCTCTTCGCAGACGATAAGCAGGAAAATCGCGCGCGCACGGAAAAGACACCGTTGCGACGCTTGTTTCGTGTCCGACATTCGATCCCCGCTTTCTTCGCGGGCGAGAGAGAAGAGATAAAAACACATCTCCGTTCTTTTTAGCCGCACCCTTGCCCAAGTCCGTCTCGCACCCTGTTATTAACTATCTTTCTTCAGATTCCCGTCGGAAACCGTCAAGTAAACTCACTTCCGCTCACCAACGATGACGAAAGAACAACAACAATAACAGCAACAAAGTCCGTGGTCCAGCTCGGACTCCGCGAACAGACGAACGGGCCGCAACCTGACCACACGAAAGAGGAACATCATCACTACGACTGTACCCTTCGAGAGAACGACACTCGATCTCTTCCTGGATCGGAAAAACACGATGAGAAGGTATCACTTATCACCGGGACATCGTCGATGAAGGAAATAATCGCAACAGCGCGAGCAACGATGAGAATGATGACTATGACGAGGACGACGACGACGAAAGTATCCTGAAGAACTCGGATGAAGGATGTTCGCCGATGGCCGTGACATTGTCCTTCCTTATCCCGTCTTTCTCTCATTCCATCTATTTCGTCCAGAGCTTTCATCCTCTTTTCGGATCAGGGCGCGGCGGTCAAGGTCGACAAAAGATCGCTAGCCGAACGCGTCAGCTCCTCAGCCTCCCCGGTGGACCGGTATCGGCCTCGTTGAACCCCGTTGAATCTCGTTGAACGAGCCACCATTTCGTACCCTCGTTTTGATAACGAGCGCTGCCATCCGGCAGGTAGAAAGGGCGCCGTGAATCCGTCAGCTACGAAGTCGTGTAACTGCCGGTGCGTGCCTGAAGGTAGTGATGATAGAACGGCGGCAGGGTCGTCGTTTCCGCCGTCGACGACACGTTTGTCGAGTTCTGCGAGGTTACTGCGAGGCCCAATGGGGGAGGCCCCGGCGAACGCTAGTGAGCCGCAAGCGAGTGAGCCGTGAGAGCCTGTGGGCTGAGCATCGGCGGACTGTGGCTGTGGCCCATGGGCGACCCGTGCAGGTGATCCTGCGGATGATAACCCTGATGAAGGCCGCCCTGTCCCTGGTGGCCCGGCGGCATGCCTTCCATCATGCCGTCGCCGAGCGTATTCGGCGGCGTCATCCTCTTCTCTTTCTGCCGTCGATTACAGAACCACACCCTGACGACTTCCTTCTCGAGTTGCAGCGAGTCCGCTAGCGAGGTGATCTCTTGAGCCGAGGGTTTAGGCTGCTTGTGAAAGTGTTGCTCGAGCGCGCCCTTTACCGATACTTCGATCGACGTTCTCTTCTTCCGTTTCCTACCCTGAGCGGCGATCTTGTCGATGCTCGTCGGCGAACCGGTCGTCGAGTCCGCTTCCTCGAGCCACTTTTGCAGCAATGGTTTCAACTTACACATATTCTTGAAGCTCAACTGTAGAGCTTCAAACCTGCAAATTGTCGTCTGAGAGAAAACGTTGCCATAGAGTGTACCGAGTGCGAGACCGACGTCTGCCTGGGTGAAGCCGAGCTTGATGCGTCGCTGCTTAAACTGCTTGGCGAAGGCCTCGAGATCGTCCGACGTCGGCGTATCCTCCTCGCCGGCGCTGTGATCCCTGTCGAGAGGATGCCCCGCATGCAGCGGATGCCCCGACGGTGGACTGTGATTGTGCGCGTCCCTCAAATGGTGAGGTAATCCGGTCTGATGATTATGCAGCTGATGCGGATGCTGGTGCGGATGCTGGTGCAGCATGCCATTCATCGCCGCGTGGTACTGTTGCAGGGTGGTGGGCGAGGCCGCGCCACCGCTGGGGTTGTAATGCGCCGACGGAACGACCGGTGCATGCCAAGAGTGCGGCGAGGCCATGCCCGGGGACTGATGCGGGCCCCGATGGTGCATGCCTTGGTCCGTCGCGGTTGCCGCGGCGGCCGCGGTCAGTGGTTTCACGTCGAGACTCGCATTAGCTTGATGGGGATGATGATGAGGATGATGGGTAGTATGATGCATGCCCATCGAGGCTGCCCAGGGATCGCTGCCAGGCTGTAGGCTCACCCAGGGATTTGCCGAAGAGAGACTCGCCGCCGGATGAGAGAGTCCGTTCGGCGACGGCGAGCCCGTCACCTGATGGTGATGGTGATGGTGGTGATGATGCTGCGGCGCCGGCATATACTTCATCTCCCCGGCGTCGGCGGCGCTGCGGGGCGAGCCCGAAGAATAGCCACCTACGGCGATGTTCATTCCGATCGTTGTACCCGAACCACCATCCAGGTCGGTAGACACTGCGCTACTAATCGGCATGTACGTGGTAGCGGCCATCTACTTTCCGCTCGTCGAGAGGTTTCGCAAAACCCCCTCGGTGTAGTTCCACGGTGTGGAACGTCCACGGGGTACGTGCGGATTCTCGAGCGCACCCCTTTTTGCAGAAAGAATCTCCAAACGTTGATTATCGTCGATAGATTAAAAAAAATGAAGATTTTTATATTTCGATAAAAAATCTCCACGAAAATATTGATTGTCGCGGTGGAGTCTCTTCGCAAGATCTTAGAATCGAACGCTGTCAGTTGTATGCTTAGTCACCTTACAATGACGTACGATCGTACGATACTCGAGAAGTTTTTTTTAATCACTGTTCACTCGTGGCACAATCCACAGTTCGCGATGACACACTAAGTACCAGACGAAGCTGGTCATCGCTCTTGACGAACTTTCGTCCATAGTTTCTCAAGATTATCATGCATGCGACGATACAGAAACATCGACGAGTCAACGAAGGAAGAGGCGTCCGTGTACCGTCTTCTTGGTCTTCTCCGACGGGGTGGGCCCCCGCGGAAAAAAAACGTGACTCGGAGCACCGCTTTATCGCGGCACTCCGGTTCTTCCTTTCTTCTTCTGGCACGAGAATCACAAGCAAAAGATCGCTCTCTGGCTCCGGCCCTTCGAGACGAATCGAGAAGTCACTCGCGACCAAGGATATCGATTTAGCCGAGATCACACATCCCTGTTGGGGATTCGAACTTGTCGAATAATCACTATCTCTTGAAAACGACGATGACGTCTACGGTGATGCGAGGATTACTCCACACTGGTGTTGTGTCCGTGGCCCCGACGTGGTAAACGCGAACCGATGACGACGATGCACGGCGCGACTGCACTCGGGGGTTGCCACCGCGGACCGACGACCGAGCAACGAGCAAGCGACCGACCGGCTCGGCGTAAAGGGACGTACGACGGTAATCGCGGAACGGAAGAGACTCGACTCGGCGGGAGTAGAGTAAGTATATGATGTCGTGCGTGTGTGTTCCTTCTGGCGGTGGACGTCCCTCTCTTTACGTGAGTGTATATGAGTGTGCGTATACATACGGTATACGTGTATACGTGTATGCGTGAGTGTGGGTGAGAGAATACGGGGAGAGAGATAATGTATATATGTGTGTGAGAGAGAGAGAGAGAGCAAGAGAGTGAATGTGAATGTGTATGTGTATGTGTGTGTGTATGGCGGCGGAGGAGAGACGGGTTAGAAAGATCTCGCTCGGGCTTTCATGCGTTATGCATGTCGTAGCTGAGAGCGACTGACTGCCTCGCCTCGCAGCTCGCTCGAGGTTCCCGAGGCTCCCGGAGCCGCTTGTGGTGGAGGTACGTCATGCGCGCCACCGTCATGTTCATCCCTACCACAGTTGGATACGGCGTTCGTGATTGGTCGACCTCGCAAGGTGGCCGTCGATGTACGTCAGCATCAGGCGGAACCTGAACAAGACCTGCCTACGAAGGCAGGCGAGGCACCCCAGGCGCCAGTCCTTCTCGACCCCCTCTTGTTGTCGCTCGACTACGCTCTCGCCAGGCTAACGATGCTCGTTCGCTGATGCCGCCGACGTTGCTGCTCTACCGTTGCTGCGCCGAGCTGCGCCGCGCCACACCGCACCGCACCGCACCGCACCGCACCGCACCGCACCGCACCGCACCGCACCGCACCGCACCGCACCGCACCGCACCGCACCGCACCGCACCGCACCGCACCGCACCGCACCGCACCGCACCGCACCGCACCGCACCGCACCGCACCGCACCGCACCGCACCGCACCGCACCGCACCGCACCGCACCGCACCGCACCGCACCGCACCGCACCGCACCGCACCGCACCGCACCGCACCGCAACGGATCGCACCGCATCGCACCGCGCCGCAACCGCACCGTTCCGTTACTCTCGTGGCGATTCGGAGAAGCGCGACTCGGAGCTGTCGATTCTACGCGCGACAGGACTCTGGTCCACGTCTGTCATGATCTAAGCTCCTCGCGACTTCTTCTCGGATGTGCGCACAGTTCATCTTCTCTACGTTTACGTTCTACCGAATATGTCGTTTTTTAAACAACAGAAATTTTTCACGATCACGGTCGGTGAACATTTTCGTGATCTCTCGTGACACGCACACGCATGCAACAGGTACTAATTTACGGATAATTGCACGCGCGGTGAGGCACGGTAGACATCGTGATAACTCGGATATTCCTGTCCTCGTGATGAAGTATATCTTGTGAGAATATCCGGTGGGGCCATGAGACTCATAATGCGGGTATCGCGTGAAAGGCATTATTAATTAAAGTAATGATAAAATATACAAAATAATTCTTTACACACTTCGCACGAGCAACCATCCCACCTACATAAAATTAATAGTCACAAAATCTTCATTTTTTCATTTTCGAATTTAGAATAACCGTCTGTATACGCGATTTTATTCCGCTGCGTCACGATTGTTCTGCGAGAACCACGATGGCATACTCGTCACGTACGCGAGCGAAAGATCAATTTTTCAGGCACCGTCGCGGTACAATCCTGCTCGTCGACAGTTTCATTTCCTTTTCGCATAGCTCGCGGTGCAACAGGTGTACGGGTAATCGTTGGTCTCGACTCGTCCGCTGATTACGCGCCCCTTCGTTATCGATATTCCGCACCTCGCACCGTAGTCGTCTCGTAGCGAGAGGAAAAGAGGGATAAGCCGAAAAGTTTAATCCATCGCAGTACGAAACCTCGATTTATGAACGACAAAATTTTTCCTTCGTAAAAAATTATGACGATTACGTTGAAAATAAAGTCATGAAAGTCGTATGACGGTTCGACAAGTGTACTATAAGATGCACAAATCTATATAAGCTTTAATTATTCAAGCATTTTCATACGCTATTATCGGCGATGTAAAATTCGCGGATATAGAATTTCCAAAAGAAATCTAATTGAAATTTGATTGATCGCCGATTAGGCGAGAACGCACATATTAGATATTAATTCGAGATGATTAATTATGAAAAGTGTTCAAACCCTTCCCGTGAGAGGGTGGTATTAGTAAGAACCAAACGCACAAAAAACGAATGAATGAGCGAAAGCGAATAAGTGCATTGAGAAGAGGAAAGGAAGGGAAAGACGAACACGACACTCGCTCCTAACGTACGTTCTTTTTTTTGTCGCCCGTTCGTCCGTCCGTAATTGTCCCGCGAATTTCAGACTCTCTTCGCAGACGATAAGCAGGAAAATCGCGCGCGCACGGAAAAGACACCGTTGCGACGCTTGTTTCGTGTCCGACATTCGATCCCCGCTTTCTTCGCGGGCGAGAGAGAAGAGATAAAAACACATCTCCGTTCTTTTTAGCCGCACCCTTGCCCAAGTCCGTCTCGCACCCTGTTATTAACTATCTTTCTTCAGATTCCCGTCGGAAACCGTCAAGTAAACTCACTTCCGCTCACCAACGATGACGAAAGAACAACAACAATAACAGCAACAAAGTCCGTGGTCCAGCTCGGACTCCGCGAACAGACGAACGGGCCGCAACCTGACCACACGAAAGAGGAACATCATCACTACGACTGTACCCTTCGAGAGAACGACACTCGATCTCTTCCTGGATCGGAAAAACACGATGAGAAGGTATCACTTATCACCGGGACATCGTCGATGAAGGAAATAATCGCAACAGCGCGAGCAACGATGAGAATGATGACTATGACGAGGACGACGACGACGAAAGTATCCTGAAGAACTCGGATGAAGGATGTTCGCCGATGGCCGTGACATTGTCCTTCCTTATCCCGTCTTTCTCTCATTCCATCTATTTCGTCCAGAGCTTTCATCCTCTTTTCGGATCAGGGCGCGGCGGTCAAGGTCGACAAAAGATCGCTAGCCGAACGCGTCAGCTCCTCAGCCTCCCCGGTGGACCGGTATCGGCCTCGTTGAACCCCGTTGAATCTCGTTGAACGAGCCACCATTTCGTACCCTCGTTTTGATAACGAGCGCTGCCATCCGGCAGGTAGAAAGGGCGCCGTGAATCCGTCAGCTACGAAGTCGTGTAACTGCCGGTGCGTGCCTGAAGGTAGTGATGATAGAACGGCGGCAGGGTCGTCGTTTCCGCCGTCGACGACACGTTTGTCGAGTTCTGCGAGGTTACTGCGAGGCCCAATGGGGGAGGCCCCGGCGAACGCTAGTGAGCCGCAAGCGAGTGAGCCGTGAGAGCCTGTGGGCTGAGCATCGGCGGACTGTGGCTGTGGCCCATGGGCGACCCGTGCAGGTGATCCTGCGGATGATAACCCTGATGAAGGCCGCCCTGTCCCTGGTGGCCCGGCGGCATGCCTTCCATCATGCCGTCGCCGAGCGTATTCGGCGGCGTCATCCTCTTCTCTTTCTGCCGTCGATTACAGAACCACACCCTGACGACTTCCTTCTCGAGTTGCAGCGAGTCCGCTAGCGAGGTGATCTCTTGAGCCGAGGGTTTAGGCTGCTTGTGAAAGTGTTGCTCGAGCGCGCCCTTTACCGATACTTCGATCGACGTTCTCTTCTTCCGTTTCCTACCCTGAGCGGCGATCTTGTCGATGCTCGTCGGCGAACCGGTCGTCGAGTCCGCTTCCTCGAGCCACTTTTGCAGCAATGGTTTCAACTTACACATATTCTTGAAGCTCAACTGTAGAGCTTCAAACCTGCAAATTGTCGTCTGAGAGAAAACGTTGCCATAGAGTGTACCGAGTGCGAGACCGACGTCTGCCTGGGTGAAGCCGAGCTTGATGCGTCGCTGCTTAAACTGCTTGGCGAAGGCCTCGAGATCGTCCGACGTCGGCGTATCCTCCTCGCCGGCGCTGTGATCCCTGTCGAGAGGATGCCCCGCATGCAGCGGATGCCCCGACGGTGGACTGTGATTGTGCGCGTCCCTCAAATGGTGAGGTAATCCGGTCTGATGATTATGCAGCTGATGCGGATGCTGGTGCGGATGCTGGTGCAGCATGCCATTCATCGCCGCGTGGTACTGTTGCAGGGTGGTGGGCGAGGCCGCGCCACCGCTGGGGTTGTAATGCGCCGACGGAACGACCGGTGCATGCCAAGAGTGCGGCGAGGCCATGCCCGGGGACTGATGCGGGCCCCGATGGTGCATGCCTTGGTCCGTCGCGGTTGCCGCGGCGGCCGCGGTCAGTGGTTTCACGTCGAGACTCGCATTAGCTTGATGGGGATGATGATGAGGATGATGGGTAGTATGATGCATGCCCATCGAGGCTGCCCAGGGATCGCTGCCAGGCTGTAGGCTCACCCAGGGATTTGCCGAAGAGAGACTCGCCGCCGGATGAGAGAGTCCGTTCGGCGACGGCGAGCCCGTCACCTGATGGTGATGGTGATGGTGGTGATGATGCTGCGGCGCCGGCATATACTTCATCTCCCCGGCGTCGGCGGCGCTGCGGGGCGAGCCCGAAGAATAGCCACCTACGGCGATGTTCATTCCGATCGTTGTACCCGAACCACCATCCAGGTCGGTAGACACTGCGCTACTAATCGGCATGTACGTGGTAGCGGCCATCTACTTTCCGCTCGTCGAGAGGTTTCGCAAAACCCCCTCGGTGTAGTTCCACGGTGTGGAACGTCCACGGGGTACGTGCGGATTCTCGAGCGCACCCCTTTTTGCAGAAAGAATCTCCAAACGTTGATTATCGTCGATAGATTAAAAAAAATGAAGATTTTTATATTTCGATAAAAAATCTTCACGAAAATATTGATTGTCGCGGTGGAGTCTCTTCGCAAGATCTTAGAATCGAACGCTGTCAGTTGTATGCTTAGTCACCTTACAATGACGTACGATCGTACGATACTCGAGAAGTTTTTTTTAATCACTGTTCACTCGTGGCACAATCCACAGTTCGCGATGACACACTAAGTACCAGACGAAGCTGGTCATCGCTCTTGACGAACTTTCGTCCATAGTTTCTCAAGATTATCATGCATGCGACGATACAGAAACATCGACGAGTCAACGAAGGAAGAGGCGTCCGTGTACCGTCTTCTTGGTCTTCTCCGACGGGGTGGGCCCCCGCGGAAAAAAAACGTGACTCGGAGCACCGCTTTATCGCGGCACTCCGGTTCTTCCTTTCTTCTTCTGGCACGAGAATCACAAGCAAAAGATCGCTCTCTGGCTCCGGCCCTTCGAGACGAATCGAGAAGTCACTCGCGACCAAGGATATCGATTTAGCCGAGATCACACATCCCTGTTGGGGATTCGAACTTGTCGAATAATCACTATCTCTTGAAAACGACGATGACGTCTACGGTGATGCGAGGATTACTCCACACTGGTGTTGTGTCCGTGGCCCCGACGTGGTAAACGCGAACCGATGACGACGATGCACGGCGCGACTGCACTCGGGGGTTGCCACCGCGGACCGACGACCGAGCAACGAGCAAGCGACCGACCGGCTCGGCGTAAAGGGACGTACGACGGTAATCGCGGAACGGAAGAGACTCGACTCGGCGGGAGTAGAGTAAGTATATGATGTCGTGCGTGTGTGTTCCTTCTGGCGGTGGACGTCCCTCTCTTTACGTGAGTGTATATGAGTGTGCGTATACATACGGTATACGTGTATACGTGTATGCGTGAGTGTGGGTGAGAGAATACGGGGAGAGAGATAATGTATATATGTGTGTAATACGGGGAAGATAATGTATATATGTGTGTGAGAGAGAGAGAGAGCAAGAGAGTGAATGTGAATGTGTATGTGTATGTGTGTGTGTATGGCGGCGGAGGAGAGACGGGTTAGAAAGATCTCGCTCGGGCTTTCATGCGTTATGCATGTCGTAGCTGAGAGCGACTGACTGCCTCGCCTCGCAGCTCGCTCGAGGTTCCCGAGGCTCCCGGAGCCGCTTGTGGTGGAGGTACGTCATGCGCGCCACCGTCATGTTCATCCCTACCACAGTTGGATACGGCGTTCGTGATTGGTCGACCTCGCAAGGTGGCCGTCGATGTACGTCAGCATCAGGCGGAACCTGAACAAGACCTGCCTACGAAGGCAGGCGAGGCACCCCAGGCGCCAGTCCTTCTCGACCCCCTCTTGTTGTCGCTCGACTACGCTCTCGCCAGGCTAACGATGCTCGTTCGCTGATGCCGCCGACGTTGCTGCTCTACCGTTGCTGCGCCGAGCTGCGCCGCGCCACACTGCACCGCACCGCACCGCACCGCACCGCACCGCACCGCACCGCACCGCACCGCACCGCAACGGATCGCACCGCACCGCATCGCACCGCGCCGCAACCGCACCGTTCCGTTACTCTCGTGGCGATTCGGAGAAGCGCGACTCGGAGCTGTCGATTCTACGCGCGACAGGACTCTGGTCCACGTCTGTCATGATCTAAGCTCCTCGCGACTTCTTCTCGGATGTGCGCACAGTTCATCTTCTCTACGTTTACGTTCTACCGAATATGTCGTTTTTTAAACAACAGAAATTTTTCACGATCACGGTCGGTGAACATTTTCGTGATCTCTCGTGACACGCACACGCATGCAACAGGTACTAATTTACGGATAATTGCACGCGCGGTGAGGCACGGTAGACATCGTGATAACTCGGATATTCCTGTCCTCGTGATGAAGTATATCTTGTGAGAATATCCGGTGGGGCCATGAGACTCATAATGCGGGTATCGCGTGAAAGGCATTATTAATTAAAGTAATGATAAAATATACAAAATAATTCTTTACACACTTCGCACGAGCAACCATCCCACCTACATAAAATTAATAGTCACAAAATCTTCATTTTTTCATTTTCGAATTTAGAATAACCGTCTGTATACGCGATTTTATTCCGCTGCGTCACGATTGTTCTGCGAGAACCACGATGGCATACTCGTCACGTACGCGAGCGAAAGATCAATTTTTCAGGCACCGTCGCGGTACAATCCTGCTCGTCGACAGTTTCATTTCCTTTTCGCATAGCTCGCGGTGCAACAGGTGTACGGGTAATCGTTGGTCTCGACTCGTCCGCTGATTACGCGCCCCTTCGTTATCGATATTCCGCACCTCGCACCGTAGTCGTCTCGTAGCGAGAGGAAAAGAGGGATAAGCCGAAAAGTTTAATCCATCGCAGTACGAAACCTCGATTTATGAACGACAAAATTTTTCCTTCGTAAAAAATTATGACGATTACGTTGAAAATAAAGTCATGAAAGTCGTATGACGGTTCGACAAGTGTACTATAAGATGCACAAATCTATATAAGCTTTAATTATTCAAGCATTTTCATACGCTATTATCGGCGATGTAAAATTCGCGGATATAGAATTTCCAAAAGAAATCTAATTGAAATTTGATTGATCGCCGATTAGGCGAGAACGCACATATTAGATATTAATTCGAGATGATTAATTATGAAAAGTGTTCAAACCCTTCCCGTGAGAGGGTGGTATTAGTAAGAACCAAACGCACAAAAAACGAATGAATGAGCGAAAGCGAATAAGTGCATTGAGAAGAGGAAAGGAAGGTTTAGTACATTTAAATGAGAGCCACAGGTAGCAGCATTATGCAGTACGTGCCAGCCACCCCTCAGAAGGGGTGAGTTAGATCATCGTGTGCCGCGGGATCCTCCTGTGTCGTAGTCTGTTTCAACTACCCAACTGGCTTTGCGCGCCTTCGCACCTGTGGCCACGCTCGCTCGCGTTATTGTTGCCGCTAACTTCCTTATTTTTTTTTCTTTTTCTCTTTTATTGCTCGCGCGTGCGAGGAAGCGCGGCTAATTATCGCTTATACGAGATGTATGCGAATTCTCCGAGCGTTGCGATAAAAAGTAATAAAGAAGGAGACGACAACTTACACGTCTCTCGGTTTTCTCGCCTTGTGATCCAAACGCATTATGTCAAGAAAAAAAATGAAAATTTGAAATATAAAAAATGAAATTTTTATTAGGAATTGACTTAACATATTTTTAAAAAAGTAATAAATATTATAAATGTATGAATATGAGTGCACGAATTTATCGAGACTTAAAGTATATATAGTAGAATGTATTTTTTTTTATTTTATATTCATAGTAATGTTATTACAAAAAGCAGTAGAGATATTTTTACAGATCGACCGTAAAGGAGATCAATATTACTTACATCAAAAGTTATTATTTTGTAAACAAGCGCACTAAAAGTCTCGGTTCGGCAAAATTCCTACAAAGCATTTTCCAAATAATTTTCTACAAAGTGCAACAGTTGACCATGACGTTTCTAAACATTTCTAAACACGATGAAACTAACAATGAAGTTCTCTTAACGCATTGGAGAAACCGTGGATTATACTCAAAATATCGCGACGCTTCGGCCAACGACGATCGGTGTCGTCGCAGAATTGTCGATATTTCACTTCGACGACTTTTATTGCGTCTTTCTTATCGCCATCACGGCACGCTCGCGCGGTTGCAAAGCTCTGTCGCGATGAGAGAAAAATTATGCATTCCGCGTGTACGCGGGTGTACGTTGCCCGCGAACGGTCTCCGGAATTTCACTCGCCACGTCCCCTTTCTCCATTCCTGCAAGTATACACGAATACGCAAAGCTTACTAAAGTTTATCTTAGGCAAAATGCTTGAGATCCCGATAATATATATTATATTTTCAAAATAAGCGTTAAAACGTACACTATCAATTGTATTGAATAGATATTAATTAAGATATCATTCTTTTTATGGCGTCCTGTAAAATTATTTTCGCGGTTTTATATATTATTTATATATTATTATATACTATGCAAGTCCCGTACATACATCGCATTAACAGCTTTGCTGATCGGCCAGGCGTAACATAAGACTGGCCATCCGTCTTTTCTATCCCTTTTCGCGCTTTTTACCTTCCGCTGTCCGTCAACTTTCCGCGACTACGCCGACACTGGCGATGATCTACGAGCGGCCGATAGAATGCTCGCACGAAGCGCATAAATTCACGTTCGTTATGCGCGCAACGGTGGCTCGTTGCCATAAGTGCCACCGCTTGTCGTGAGACACCGTAAACAGGCGATGGAGACAGAGGGAGACGGGGGGCAATAATAGAATCGTCTTTACATATGTATCGCTGTGAACTGACAGATTATGAATGGCGCTGCTTAAAATGCCGAAGACGGATCTCGTCAAGCGCTCATTCGAGCGGGGTGATATGACGCACATATGATCGTAACGCGACGCGCGCGTCTTTGGTTAAATATACAACATCGGATAAAAGAGAAAGAGGCTTCAAAAAGAGAGAGAAAGAAAGGGCTAGGAAAGAACACGAGCACTAGCTCGCTCGAAAGCAATATTATCGACGATTATAGGCAAGTTAAAAAACGGCAAAAGTTTGATGTTTCTTTTAATTTTTTATTTTAATAGAAAAAAAAAATATACGATTTCCCTAAATAATGTAATATGTGAAATAATTATTTGCAATATCATATTGGTTAAAAAAGTCTCAAATTGAGGAGACACGAAGCAAAAAGCAAATTTTTTTTTAATAATCTCTTTAGCTATTTAATTGATCACGATATTGTTGCTCCTATCTCTTCGATCGTTATCTTCGCGATGTAGACAGCCCGGTCTCGCAAAGCTTCATCGTTGAATCGTGTCGATCGATCGAGTGGGTCGCGCCGTCATAATGCACCCTTAATTCGATTTCGTTTACCCCCATTGTGTCAAATTGGATTGAATGCTGCCGTGAAATATTTGCTTAGGATCCGACAGGTAGCTAGCTAGTTTCCACGTCGCGTACACGAGACAAACTTGTGGAGAGGGAAGAAAGGAGGATGAGGGACGAGAAACGAAGAGAAAGAGAAAGGATAGGTGCGAGAAAACATAGGAAACAATCAGCAACGGTCTAGCCCTAACTGCGCGAAAACGCTTTACCTGAATGTTGCTTGCATAATTTAGGCGCACCATTCGGGGCTCAACCCTGAAGGATCTACGGTCCAGATGCATCTTGTTCTGCGATCAGAGAACCACCGAAAAGTGCGAAAACATTGGTGCAAAACGTCGAATACGATTCCGCTTGGGCGTTAACGGCCAATTTTCCTTGTCCGCCTTTTCCTCTTTCATCGCTTGCCGACTTTATAATCTAGGGTCTTTTATAACATGTTACACTTACGTAGCATATTTTAATTTCACTAATACAAAAATTATCTTAAAATAATTAATAGAAATTTTATCGCACACATATGTGCAGTAGCTTAATTAATTTATTAAATTTAAAATAAACCGTGTGTGTGATGTAAACTAAACAAGAATTTATACACGTTACGCAAAGCAACCATATCTTTTTGATTTTTTCTCTCTTAATTTTAATATGAATACATCTACTCGCTAACGTCACGTCGGGCAAAGCACCGAAATTAGTCGCGACGCTTTGAAAATATTACTCGAATTCCAAATAATCGTCCAGTCAACCGTCGAGATGCGCGACAATGCTCGCAACGGTGGCTAAGAGAATGTATTTACATACGAAATCCGCTTGTAGACACGAAGAGAGAAATACGGATCGAACGCGCGCTCCTGGATACACAACACACTCACAATCCTCGCCCACGTTGGAAGGTCACGATAATAGGATATGCACACACGAGATCTAGCTGGGCCATCTTTTTTAGATACATTTGAAAATACAATCGTAGGCCTTCTTAACGTGTCATCGAGACTCGCATCGTGATGACGATGATTATCCGAATAATAAAATTCTTCAACATATGGTCGAAGACATTTTAATGATCTTTAACGACTAGCTGCTCATCCAAAAGCGTTTAATCCGGATAGTTGAAACATATCGTAGGTCCTGTCAATCATAAAAAAGGGACCTATTCGGACCACCTACAGATATAAAAATATACAAGCTAGCATTACATCATACACGGGATATTCGTTAGCAAACACGTTTCATCGGTCATCGAAAGCATAGAGCATGATGCGTAAATTTTTTTTTTTTCGGTTTCTACCGATCGTCCGAAAGCTTGTCAAAATTTCGTTGCATCCATTTTCCAAAATATGCGTGAGCCGAAAATGCTGCATGAGAGCACACGCGAAATTCGCACGGATTTCATCATTTGTTAAAACAGAGTGCAACGCGACAATGTAGACTGTCGTTGTGAATTCGATCACATACATACATATACATAGTACACATACTATATACAATATCCACATTTTAACAATCGCCAAAATAAAACCCGCAACGATCTGCGAATCAGTGCACTCGCCGAGGAGCCTATAAAAACGAATATTTAGAACGTGTCGTAGGTCGCGGTAGTCATAAAAAAAGAAAAAAAAAACGGAAAGGAACGCCACGTCACTCGTACGTGAATGGAGGACGTTAACCGACGTAATTTGGCCGCCTTTATGCCCGAAATGAATATTTTAATATTTTAATACGAAATATATATACGCTATGAAGGATTTTATGATGCGCTATAGAACTTTTCCCTATTGTGGGTATCTGCTTCCGTGGAGGTAAGGAGAGGGGAAAAAGGGCAACATAGAGAGGGGACAGCGAGATTCGACGCTCAGAAAGAGAAGGGAGGCAGCGATACTAATAGTGGGGACAGAACTCGAGGGGACAGAAGAGGGAGTGCCATGGGTTCTTTAGGGGAACAGAGGGGGATCTGCTGCATAGTGAGCAAAACTAAAACGAGATGGCAGCAGCACGCGGCTATGTCATCGTAAAGAGAGGGAGACTGTGTGGAACACCCCTTCGAAGGGTTGCTCGAAGAAGGGACGCGTTGATAAATACGGTGACACCTATGGAACAGCCCGAGAGTTTAATAGAAAAGAAGGGAGCTTCGAGGATAATACGAAATTTGTGCTTTTATTGATAATTTCAATTGCGACTGCATTTGCAAGTGTATCCAATAAATCAATCTCTTTTAACATGAACAATAAAATAGATTATAAGGAGAAATAACGAAGATTCATATCATTTAAAGGAATATGATCCAAGAAATTATTAATCAGAATTAGAATAAAATTTACTTCTGTTACATTTTTACATTACATTTTTTCAGTGATTAAGTCAATGATATAAATTTTATATATATATATACAGTGGCGTGCGAAAGTTTCCGGTCAGTGACATTTCGTACTAATTTTCGTTCTAATTTATTAAAAAAAACCTAATGACTTTTTAATCATTATGAGGTGCGAGTATAACATATAGGAAACAAAATAATATAGTGAAAGAAATATTGTTTATGTTTATAAAAGTATTTATAGTTATAATTGTTATATTTACAAAATATCACTGGCCGGAAATTTTTGCACGCCACTGCATATGGAGGAAGAAAGCAAAAGGATTGAAAGAAGGAAAAAGACAAAGAAAGAAGAAAGATGAAAGAGATATCATTTTATAATTTCAATATTTTCTGAAAAAAGTCAAAAAATCACATCTTTTCTGTCTGATATTTTTGTCTATATACCTCATCTATTCCTACTTTTTCTTTTATTCTCTCAGAAGCTCATCACTGCGTGATTAAAACGATTTTTCAAGCCGCATGTCAAGATCTTTGTCGTAGCGAAGAGCCATGAGCTTCCTCCTTCGTCTCGTGAATTTCCACTTTAAAAAGTTCGATCTGCCACACAGCGCAACCGTTAGGCCGCTCGGAAGGAGAATCGATAGCTCGCGCGTGGAAGGATGTAAGGAGCGTGAAGAAATATGTTAGCGCACGAGAGGAAGGGGAGGACGATGGTTTTATTTACTGCCGCCGGTCCGTGATCTGAATTTTTATGATCGCGGCCGCCGTATCCAAGCGCGATTCATTCCCGCGGTGACGTCACCGCGTGGATCTGACACGCAATGTGACACACAGGCATCTACGTTTACTCCAGATCAATGACACCCTGTATAAAAGTGTAGGGTAGATAGTTTCGAATGGGGATGAGATGGTGCAAAGTGCTTAGGCTATTAATATCCGTGAATATTCACAGAACAGTAAAGAGTTTCCAACGGAAAAATCAATTCGCATAATCTCGTGCTTCGTATCTTAAATCTTTAGTTTGATTTAACGAAGTATTTTTGATGCAAATCAAAAAGATCCATCTATCAAAAGAATTTATCGATTTAAAAAATCGATGAACTTTATCTCACGCGCAGAAATTTCTAAATAAACATTTATTAAATTTTTATAAATAATTTGTCATATAAATCTTAATATCTCCAGCATTCTATGTAACAAGTTAATTATTTGTTATATGCGCATCAAACATTCGCGATACGACAAGATGCTCGCTCTATGAATTAATGGGTAATTCGCGGATGACCGCTATAATGCTCAACTACATCGCCAGTGTCCAGCCAAACGGACGGAAATTCCCGGTGGACAGCAGGAAGGTGCGGAGCTGTTCGTTAAAGCGTCACGAAGGGTCAAAGAGCCGGGGAAGAGGAGCAGCCGTTGGAATAGATTAGGCATCTTGGATTCGATTATAATCGCCGACGGATCGAATCGGTCTCGAGACTAACTTCGTCGACCGCGGATCCTTGGCGAGAGCGAGCGAAACTCGCACGGGATTCGCCGGTCTGGTAAACCTTACGCTGTACGCGAATTTGCGTTTGAAATCGAGAATGAGGGGGTGGGCTTTCGTCGCTCGAACCCGACGCTCTCTCAGGCGCAGACTATTTGATCCTTGCACTCTAAGGACCCGCTAACTGCGGCGGAAACTTCGACGCTCTGGGTATAGAGTTGATTAAGGAGACGATAAGCGCTGCGCTCGAGCTCTTGCCTAATGCAGCGAGCCAGCAGCGCGACGTTACCGCTGAAAGTTAGCGCGCGTTCGCTTGCCGCTGCTGCTTCCTTGATTAAACGATGTAACAATGATACCGGAATAATTCGCTACGATTATCTTATATGCTTAATTCCATAAATTTGGTGAAAAAAATAGAGGATGAAATATGAGTACGAAATCTTGACAGATTTAAATTGACAAGCTATAAGATCAAACAATTTCAAAAAATAATAGAGAGAGAGTAATAAAAATAGAAATTAGTGAAAAATATTTAATAAAGATATTATTATATTTTACATTGAGAGAGATGATGAAAAAAAATGGGAAAAAAAAACATTGAGAGTTCAATAAAAAATTGTAATAAAAATATAACAAGATATGTTACAATAAGAGTTGATCAATTAAATTCAAAATTGAGCATCTCACACGCAAAGCAAAGTGAAAATGTAAGATTGACGTAAGGTGTATTTGCGTC